GGAGCGGAGGGTGCTGAGCTCTGCCACTGCCTGTGCCACCGGGGATTGGGAATGGCAGAGGGTATTGGAGCAGAGATGGAAGGGATGAGGGCTGGCTAAAGGAAATGAGGGATGAGGGATAAACTACTGCTACAGGAAGCAGAGGTCCTTCACGTTCCCCAGGAAGCAAGGAGAAAACCTCACTAGATGTGAATGCATTTTGTGCATTCCCCGGGAAACAAGTTTCCACATAAATAATTGAAATGTGTTTAAAATGGATGTCTGCGATGGCTTGCACAGACAGACTGCCGAGGCCATTAATTCCTTGGCCTCTGTTACCTCTGTATTAAATCAGTATCATAACCTGTGATTTTTCTGTGTGAGGTTTTTAATGCTAATGCCTTGTTCATGCAATTTGGGAAAGGAAACAGGTTTAGAAATAAGCAGTTCCCCATTAATATTTTCATTCATAATGTATATGCTTTTAACTGCCTTGCCTACAACCTTAAAGTAACACCTAATATGGAAAAAAATACACCAATCCTGAACCTACAATATGTGGGCAGCAGAGCTACCAGTGGGAAGTAAGGCTGTCAGGTTTGTGTTGCTGAATCAAGGGCTTTACTGAATGAAAGATGCTGTAACTGCTCAGTACCTTTTTTAAACAGTCTTAGAGCCTTCCATCTCATTCCTAACAAAACCAGAAGAATACATCACATCACCTCTGTATTCATCCTCCACCGGCACAGGTGGAATCCCCCAGTCTGCAAGGACATGTCAGGGGAAAGAACTCTTGGACTGCATCTGGACACAGCACTAGAGACCCTCCTTGGTACAGGTGGCGATCTTCTCCTCCGGGAAGCCCCAGACCTATTCCTCTTACCTTCCCAAAACCCACAAAGAAAAATTGTAGGAGGACTTAGTATGTCAGAAGCAGCTGTACAGCATCTCACTGTCAGCAGACTCTAAGTCAGCTGCAGAAACTGTTACGATTTTGGTCTTCAGACGAAGCGGGGCACCACACAACCAAACTGGGGTTCACATCATCAGGCAAGAGAGACATAAAAAGACTCAAAATATTTGGAGGTTAAAATGTCCTCACAAGTCCAAAGGCTCTATTGCATGCTCTTCATCTAGAGAACAAAATAGAATTAAACAAAACATATGAAATTAGCACTGGCTGCCACCAAGTGTAGACCAGACACAATGCAAAGACACGTTTCTACGGTTAACAAAAGCTTTGTAGATAGCTTTGCATCACCTGTAAGCACTGCCCCAGAACTGTGCCACCCCCCTGTGAGACCTAAGCCAGGCAAATCGAGGTTTAAGCTCTGCAACCAGAACACGACAGCTCCTTGCAGCAGCCATAGCCCTGCAAGCTGATCCATTCAACATGCACCAGCACCTAACCCTGGCAATTCCCCTCTGCCAACCGGCTGCTCACACACAGCTGAGCTGCAGCCACATTTCTGCACTTTGTTCTGTAACTCCAGTTTCTGGCTCATGATGTTTCAGCACTGGTCCCCGCCCCAGAGTATTGATCTCCTCTCCAGGCCCCAGGACCATCCTCACTCCTCTCACTCTTCACCCCAGACATTGCGGCACTGTGAGCACCCTTCAGATGACATGTTCCACCTGACCCCCGGACCCTGCTTCTTACCTGCCTTCCTAGCCCAGAACTGGTCTTCCCTGCATCCTGGACTTCAGCTTCACAAAATTCGGTAGCTGGCTGATATGTCATGTTCGCCCTTTCTCATCTCAAAAAATGTGATCTAGAATCAGACCCTGAAGTGAGAACAGATTTCTCCAATTGCTGCATGCTTCATCCCGCTGAAGCATCAAACCTGACTGCAGATCAGAGGGTAATGCTGATGGATCTGGTATTTCAGCAGAAGCAGACCAAGGGCTTAACTGAAGCAGCAAGAACTCAGCCATCACAACAGCCTATGTGTCTGCACAGCCTTCTGCTTCAAAACCCTGATTGCTGGTTAACAGCAGATTATTTTACTGCATTACCTTGGTTGTCAGTTGAATATTAATTTACCATAAAACAATCCATTGCTACAGAACTTACTCTACTTGGGCAGAGATGGTAGACACCCTAACACCCTGCCGTCCTTTAAAGTGAGCCCTCTCTCTTGCCACCTCCCAGGCTCCCCGCACTCCCCCAGTCTCAAAAAGGACTGCACCCTCATCCCCCTGCCCCAGGCAGGGCCTTTCTCCTTTTCCCCATACAACAGACACTGGCCATAAAAACTAAGAGGTTCTGGGATTTATGATTCCTCCCCCCCTTAAATCAGTTAACACCATGTGATTAAAAGAACAAGTGCTTCTGATTGATCAAATTGGTAGTTTTATTTCCACCTGTTAAAAGAACTGTTTGCCTACCAGCAGGGTCCAACATAGATGGGACAGACAGACATGAATACAATTAAATACAGGAAAAATTGAACTATATACAAGACATACATTTACATAATAAAAAAAAAAATCTTTGAACTAGCTATCACTTCTTGCCAATGTGAAACATCACTGGAACTCAAATATATTTGGGATTCCCCCCCCCCAAAAAAAAAAGCATGTAATGCAATTTATTTTTTCCATGTACAGAGAATTAAAATTCATTTTGAGATGCACAAAATTTGTCGCACTTCACAGGGTAAACAAAAGCTAAAAGCTTTTTTGTTAAATATTTTTATTGTTTGCAATACCTAAATTTAAGTTAGATCTGTTTATTGAGACACAAACTATTAAGTGATATTTACATGGAGGGAGTTGTGCAAAGTCATTTTAGGTTATGGCTAGTGGACTGTGAAAGATGCACAGATACGTGACTCACCCTCATCCCCCGTCGTAATCCCTTAAATCCTCTTCCAATCATACCTCTTGTGCAGTAGCCACCCAAGAAAAACTGGCCATAATTTGTTTCTTTTTCTTTTTTAAGCTATTGTGAGAAAGCTGTTTCTGTGGCCCTTAAATATCTTGACAGTTGTAATGCTGGGCTGTTTCTCTTCACGCAATTAATGCTTTAAGCAATCTTTAGTACTGTTTCATCCTTTCTATGGTTTTTGGGACACAAATGCCAGCTGTTGTTGTCACTGGACTACCCTAAGACTGCTGTAGTCCTTGCTTGTAGTTTATATTACCAGTGGGAGCACACAGTAACTAGAGGTGTGTACCTTTGCAGTAGTTACCATATTGCCACAATGGAGGAACTGCCTATTCCTGATGACAGGGCTGAACCAGAGCTGTTCCAAACCTGTGTGGGGAAGGTATTGCATTTCCTAAGCTAGCCTTTATGGAACAAAACTCTGTCTGTATTACTACATCCAGAAACATCCCTAAATATTCTAATTAATGGAACAAAACTCTGTCTGTATTACTACACCCAGAAACATCCCTAAATATTCTAACTGAAAAGAAAACACTGTACGTTTGGGTTGCAATCTTCAATAAAGAACCTGAGACAGCTAATTAGAAGAGCTGCTTTAATTAAAGGCTTCCTACAGATCTCTAGGACAGGTTAGCAAAGACATCAGAAATCAATGTTGACTAAACACATCCTACAGCTGTGCTGCACCAGAGCACAAAATGGTACTTTAATAGTTTATCATAATCAAACAACTGCCAAATTCATCCAAAGTTTAATTTTGGACATTTTTCTTTTACAGACCAAACCTCAGCCTTCATAGATGCAGTTACTGCATATGTGGGTCATAAAATACTGATTTTAAACACATCACCTACTTTTAATTACTGTAATCCTGCTTGTATCAGCTCCTCTGGGATTCCACATGAGCTTGCAGATTTTAGCTGTTATAGGTTTAAAGCAGTCATTTATAGCTCAGTCCTGAGGGGGGGGCAAAAAAAAAAAAAAAAGAAGAGTGACTGGATATCAGTGCATAAACCTGTGTATTCCTGCCTTGCTTCAACAGAGGAATGCTCTCTCAAAGGAAATGTCTCTGACCTATCTTCTTTTTAAAAATGCACATTTAAAGAAAGCTGGAAAACCCTAAGGGCAAAGGGAGATTAAACTTCTCTCTCAAAAAAGCTGCCAAATCAATATTGCTCCCAAACCTCTTTTAAAGTCCCCACTTCCTCAACCCATGGCAAAACAATTATTTAATTTTTAATCGTATGCACCAGCCTAAAACCAGTCAGGTGTCAGTTTAACAATGGAAGGGAATAGCAAAGTGAATGTACTGAGCTTTAAAGCATTGCGCTGGGTACACTTGATACAGTAAGAAGATCTGTAGGTAGTTTGGTATTCAGCTGACAAGAGGAAAGCATACACTTGGCTTCTCACTCATCACTAGCAAGCCTAGACAAGACTATATTCTCTTTACTTATCAGGAGAGAGTGCTATAGAACAGTAGTAAACCCAAAAGACCATCTTGTCACATTAGAAAATAAATTCAGTGTTGTGATTCAAATTCAGGAATTCTTGGCAGTTAAAGCATTCAAAGAAGTACCTTCCTATTGTATGTGTTGCCAATTTGACTACATACTTTAGATCTCATGGAGTTCATAAAGACATCTACATGTTCAAGCCTTCTGCTTAAAAAAAACCTGATTGCTGGTTAACAGCAGGTTATTTTATTGCGTTACCTTGGTTGTTGATTGAATATTGATTTATGATAAAACAATCCATTGTTACAGAACTTACTCTACTTGGGCAAAGATGGTATCACAGAAAGCAATATAGTAATGAGCTGCTGATAGGATAAAACCAAAAGTGTAATGAAATGGCAAATTGCTCATCCATATTTTGAAAGGTAACTATTCCATATCCGTATGCAATGGCGGGAATAATTTAAAGAGTAAGAAATAAGAAAATAGTCAGACCCCTCTTATTTAAGCATTAAAAAAGTAGAAGGACATGGATTAGCTGCTTCTTTTCTGATATAAGCTGCTGGTCTAGTTTAGAGACAGTCATAAGTTTAACTTTATAACCAGTGACATAGCAAGAAGCAGCTTGGACCATTAAAAAAAAGCAGTTTATATATGTACAAGTCATTCTCCAAGAAAATCTATTTTGTTTTGATGTGTGCACAACTTGCTGCTCCTTCAATCTTCGGAGCCCTGAAAACATGACATTTTCCCCAAAAATCCAGTTGAGTCTGTCCTGAGAAACAGAAGCATTCATATGTAAATGGGATGATACTGTCTGTGAGTGAGTTTCTTCCTGCACGTTGGGCAAGAGTTGGCATTCCTAAGGGAATCTCGGAGGCACTGACTGCAGAAGACATGGCCACATTTGGTTGACACAATGAGTCGTCCACTTTGCACAATCTGGAAGAAAAGAAACCACAACAGGTATCTGGAGGAAAGAATTCACCTTGGCTGCCCTGTTGACACCAGGCAAATAGGACTTGGAGTAACTGGAACCATTATGCTACAACTACAATAATAAGGAACCCAAAGATCTTCCAGTGCCATCTCGGGAAGTGTCTCTCCCTCTACACACACCACTAAGAAATGCCTTGGAGTTACAAGCCGGTTCGACCTCCCAACCAAGGTCTGCACTTCAAGCCAGCTGTCTGTAGCATCCCACGTAACCCAAGAGCATTGCGCAGCTCACCCTCTGCCCCATTTTCCCTCCAACAAAAAACAAACTATGACATGTGGGTCCTTACCTCTGAGTAGCCATCCATGCAAATCGGACAACTAACAGTACCAGACGGCCTTGGGGGAGAGAGAACAAAACCAGAAAGATGATGCATCCATTAATTTCACTGTGCATTGAGGGTTACCAACACCTAAAACATCATGGAATCATCTGGCTACACAGACTGGCCAGGATGCATTTCATCTGAGGAGCCCTGCGTGCCTTTAATGCTCTCAAGCTGCTGCATTTAACAAGGGAGCTGGGGTCTCCCTTACCTAAAGGAAACCGCATTTTGGTTTTCATGAGTCTCAGATGCAGTTAGTCACCCTGCTCCATTATTACAAGTAACAGCAGTCTATAGCACTGCGCAGTACATATAAGGCAGTATTCATCTTCAACAAGTCATAAATAAGAGTTTTGTAACAAAACCATCTAGTTGTCCTTTGGAAACTATTCACTCTAGAAGTGAAAGAGGTGTCAGAAATTAAAACATTCCTTATTCTAATTAAGCAGCATCGCAGCCCAGTAATGTATTCATTCCAAGAACTCCTTCCTTATAAAACATACGGCAGGAACAAACTAACGTGCAGAAATATTAAAAAATAAATTTCTACGTCAGAGAAGGAAACACCAACTCAGTGGCTGTTACCAAGCTGCAGTTACAGATGTACCTCTCCTGCCTTCAGCCTCCAGGACAGCTGTATTGCACACACACTTGCTAACAGACAGAGCTATTCTGTGTAAGGAACACGTCATACTGTAAGCGCTGAATAATACTCTCTATGAGAAAGAGAAGGAGCTTCCTGTCAATTTATTTACAAGTTAATCTCTATTTTAAATGATCACAGTAAGCTCCTTTCATAAGTCTCTACCATAAACACTTGGCTTTATTATGTCACTGCCCACACTACACAACAGTTTATAATTTATTAATTAAACAGGAACAGAAAGCATGAGATATCCTTTATCCTATAATCTTAAATTCAAGCAGTTAGCACTACTAACATCTACCCCTAGTTTCACATACATAATTTAACTCCATTAATTCTTCCATTTTTACTACTCAAATTTTTCATGCAGCAGCTGTAATACCAACTCAGTAATCAATTACAGTTGACTATAACCTTCATATAACCAAGAGTAGTCTAACACTACAGAATAATGCTGGAGATTTCCACAGGGCCGTTTTTGGCCCTTTTGTCAATGACCTTTTTGTCAATGTTAAATACTGCAGCACTGGGTTGTTCCAGCCTTTCCTAAACAGAGAAGCAAGGTACACTCTTCAACAGAGAAGCCTGAGATTGAAGGAACAAACCACAAAATTTTTTAAATCAACTAATTAGTGGGATTTATTCACCTACATGCTTAACAACCAAAAGTTTAAAATATACAAATTCACTGGCAAAATTCACTATGTTTTAGACTAGTATAAGCCCTTTAGGTGGCATACTTAAGACCTGACAGCCAAAATTTCCATAACCAAGTTCTCTCCCACATTGCATTCCAGTAATCTAAAAGGGTCAAAGCACATCAGCTTTATTAAAACCTGTATTTTTCCCTCAAACACTTGAAAAAAAATGTTTACACCACAGTTCTCATGTTCTTCGTTCTTCCCTAGTCACACAGACCTCTGATTTCATTCAATTAGTCTAATACATTGCATCTGTCTTAACATAACCGAGTGCTCCTACAGCAGGAGTTCACTGTTTCTCCACAGAATGGGGTCTTTACTGTGCAAGCACCTGATCCAAACAGTGAGATCTCCACCTCACACGCAAACATATCAGAGCTCCATGACGTACATGGGCCAGAACAAAAACTGGCCACAACAGTACTACCTCCATAACCACCTTGCAAGTATACCTTGGTAAGAACGCTTACTGCTCCGAGAGAAAAAGGCAGTTAACTGGCACACTGTGCAAAAAAAGCTGTGAGTGAATAGTAGTTCCTACTGGAATTTGCCAGGCTGCTGCTTGTCAGTCTTGTGATACCAAGCCTCATGCAAAACATTATGAGCTAGGGCCTGTGACTAATCCTCCTCCTTTGCCATACATCCACACTCATCTTTAAGGTTGTATGCACAGCTGTACATCTGACTCGTGCTGGCTCTTTATCCTGAAGTGCAAATGGTGTCATTTAGTCATCATACGAAACATGATGTTGTACTCACTGAAAGAAGGAACTAACTAGAGTATGTTAAGACTTCAAAGATACATCAGGCTATAGCAACATAATTTTGTCCTGTATGTATAAGTAAAATGCAATGTTTGGTAGGTCATAAGGCATACATACTTTGAACTTGCAGTTTCATCTTCCAGTGGTCCTAATTCTCGAGACACTTGATCTGCCACATACACATCGTTATCTCTTGCTTCATCTTCATCATCGCTACTCAGTACACAGCTGTCTGACTGTCGCTGACTTCTTAGTCTGAGATTTCTTCTTTGTCGTTGATTCTCTGCAATTAATTTTTGGTAAATTAGATATATTAGAATATATATATCCCTGGAACTATCCTTGAAATGCATGATGATAAATAGTCTGTAATGGTTCATATTTTACATGGACCATATGCAGCTGGGTAAAAAGCAATCTTAAAGTGGTTTCCTAAATATTAAGGGTAAACATTTCTAGACATGGTGAATATTCTGCTATATACTGACAGAAAACATTGGCTCTATTCACCCTACAAACAGCTAAAACATGATGTTAAGGTTTCTCAGTGTCATAAGGTTCACGTAGTTACACTACCAGTGAATAAACCTCCTCTCCCAATTCCTACTTTCTTACTAACAAAGAATGCTACAACTCTAGGTTCAGGAATTGCAACAATTGCAACAATTGCTGTGTGCTATGAAAGAGAAAAAGAGGGACGGAACTGAAGTCAAGTTTCCAAGTAGCTTGGTAAGGTAGCACATATGAAACAAAAAGGCCTGGTGAATCACAGAGTCCTTTGTTCAGAAAGTTCCAGAAGCGACGGAAGAGATGCTTTAATCTAAAAAATGTAGATTATGGAGCTGCTGTGGTTCCTCACTGCTCTATCCAGGTACGATGCTAAACTATTTCACTCTTTGTGTTAAACCAAACCTCCCCACTCAACGACAGTGTCTATAAAATTAGTCTTTTTAAGAACAGTACTTGGAAATTATAAAAATACTTTAAGCACTATCTCTTTAGACATTTTCATCATCTTCCTCCTGGGTTGAGGTAACTTGAAAATGGAGTTATATTGCCCGACATAAACGGAGATGAAAAAAAATTGATCGCCCAGTCTGTAACATCCAAAGGTTAAAGAACTGCTGTTTGCTTTTTAACAGCTAGAAACCACATACATAATTCTCTCTGCAACTCCAGACTCAAATCAAGAACTAATCAATTAATTTACATAAATAGCCACAAAATTAAAGTTCGCTCCTGCAAAAGCATTCAGCTACCACTTCTACTGCAAGCATTTTTTACTTGCTTGTGCTTCATTCAGAGCACAGAATAGATTATATTCCAAGTAAGCAGCTAACAATATCCTAATACATCTCAGATATAATCTGAACAAGGTCTAAAAGATGTAAAGGATTAACTTCTTTATACCTATAACTATTGTAACATCTAAAGTAGAAAAAAAAATCCACCCTTGTTAATACCTCCCAGTACTAAATTTGAGGCGACACTGACCACATACTTTAGCACTGCCCTTTTTGCCTTTTGGCAAATGCAGTTTCAATCCATGCTGCTCAAGTTCATTGGAACAGAAAAGTTAAGTTTAGGACAATGCCTTTATCAGTTGTAAAATGTCAACTCACCTTCAACGATCTTGCATCAATATACATGGGAAGGGAGAGAAAAGAAAATACAGTTAGACTTTGGTGTGCACCCCTCGTGTTACACCAGATAAGCTAACAATTACAACAAAACAAGCTAAGAATGGCAGGATATCGCTATATTATTTTGATGAAGAATGTTAAAAGTAGTAGTAAAATAGCTGCTGTTCAGAAAACAAGCAGTTGCTTCTCTTTCTGCCGAAAAGGGATAGAACCCCTTGAACACCCTCCTCCCTGCTCCCCAATTTCCAGACCCTAATTTGATTTAGGTTGGAGGAGATGCTTTCCCTCTTTCTCCCCCAAACAGGTAAATTCAAGTGTGATAGCCATGAACACTTCAAATTAGATTAACAGCTGCTGAAGAAAACAACCCACCAACCCCAAACTCACCACTGTCTTTGGTGGAATTAGAGCTGGGACAATACAGATCACGTTGTAAAGTTACAGGCTTTTCCTTTGCAAAGGCTCAGGACCAATCCCAGCAAGACATACCCCCTGCTTTTTGTGTTTTGGTTCACACAGCAGAAGTGGCATCCCAAAACTGAGGTTATAAACTACACTGTGGGCTGCACTAAATACTATTCTAACTTCGAAAAGAGAAGAAAAAAGAAAGAGGACTTTTTCTAAGACTTCTTAGAGCAATAAACTGAACCAGTTCGTCCCACGGCCAGCTACAGATGCACTTGGCATCTGTGACAGGAATACCTTAAACCAATGTTGCAGCTGAACACTTCGTATTTGTGCAAAGACTTACTGTTCTCTTCTTCGATTTTTATTTAAATCACTGGCCTATACCTTTGATAAATCATAGCTTCAACTTCAAATTGCATCTCCTTATGTTACATTACCCACAACTGGTACATATTCTCCCCACGTCCTGGAGCAACAAGCTATTTTAGACTACCCTCTATTTGCAAGTGCACCTCCAGAGCAGCTGCTCTGTTGACTTGCAACACATGGCTTTCATGCACTGGCAAGTCACTTTTGAACTTAAAACTTCTCCTTAAACTCAGATTCTATCAGGGAGCACAACAGAAAACTAATTTGACTACAAGATTTAGATAAGGGTACTATTCACTACTTACCACAACAGAATCATTGCGAGTTAGATCAACGACTACAGGCTCAGAAGATTCACACGTGAGATCTACAACTTCTTCACCAGCTTAAAAATACAAGTTCAAATCAAGATTAGAGGTCACACAGGAACAAGTGTGCCTGCCACTATGTAACAGGCTGAGGTATGATTCAACCTTGACCTATCCCACTTCTCTTCAGGAACATATCCAACATTTCACTCAAACTTTGCTCTCAACAGTCCACATAAAGCATCACCACCAGTGTCTTCTGCATGTTGCAATGCAAGAGGAACAGCAGCGGACTGCCTTGTACAGTTATGTTGGACGACAACAGCTTGTGGGAGGCACACAGCAACAGATTATTCATCTGACATAGGAGAATGTTTATCACACAGAACAAAACATGAATCACATAGGATATAATAATTTTACAGTACCATGCTATAAGTGTTCCTGTTTCATGTCTCTTCCAACCTTTCAATGCATAGCAAACACTGAAAAAGCCATATAGTTACCTGGAGACCGACAGTTACATTTAACCTTTCCTAGGATTTCAGAAGGCAATTTAAATATCTACTTAGGAGATCAAGGAAGCTTTTTAAATTCTGAAACTTTTTGTAAAAATGTACTGACCAAGTAGTGCCTCTCCTTTGAGGGACAGGGCACAACTAATGACAAATTTTTAGTTATCTTGTAAAAACTTAGGAGTTCCCAAACTTATTTTACTGCTGGTCTGTAGTAGCAGCTGCAGTAACACCCAGCTCATCAGACCAGCCAGTCAGATGTTTGAGTGGCATTTCAGTACCTTTATGACACAACTCATCTATCACTACTGGTGAACCTATCACACCTCAGTAACAAACCAAAACAGTTGTCAGTAGGCTCATTGTTCATCGATGCCATACTAGACACTTTCTAAAATCAGAGGTTTCCCTTTGTCCCCAGTAAACGGCCTACAAACTGGCAAAAGCAACATGTTAAGTGGGACCCCAACCCTCCAGAAGCAACTTATGTTCTTACCAAGTTAAAAATAAGGCTTACCACTTTCTTCCAGTTCTATTGGCTCTGCTTCTGAAGCTCTGCCTGCGGTGGAATCCATCAGCCTGTTCCGCTTCCGAGCTTGCCTAGAATTAACTGCTCCTCCACGGCGCTTTCGTTGAGTCTAAGGGAGAACAAAACCTTAGCATTTCCTTTAGGACTAATATTAACATGGCCCTCATCTTGGCAGCACCAATGAAAGCACAGAAGGATACACAAAACACTCCACCAAAAGGCTAGAATACGCAAAGCACAGTGGCATAGGTCATTCCTACCTGAACACATCACAGAAAAGACATCACCCCACATCTCGTACCAGTTTGGTCACAACACAAAAACACACCCTCATGGTTTGCAACTGAGAAGACTAGTTCACAATTACATCCGATGTTAGCTTCCAGCCACCCTTTGGAATCAGTCTGACCTAAGGCTTTTGCTCACATTGTAAGCACTTCTGAACTATTGCTAGCACCTAGAGAGATAAAAAAATCTGAACTATCACAGAACATGAAGTTGCATGAAGTTTTAATATGCTTATGTTCCAGTGTACTTACTGCAGACTCTAAACACATTAACAGAGGTACCACAAACAACACGTTTTAAGAATCAGGTTTTCATTGAGTATCAAGATACTCACTGTGCTCATGGTGTTTCTTGATCTAAAACCACAGAAAAAAAAAAGCTACGAATGCCACAGAAGTAATTGCAAAGAAGCTACAACCATCAATTCCTTCTATTCTTTTAGGCAGTACACTGCTAAAAAGTCCAAATTTCTCAGGATCCGAGAAGGAGGTTCTTCCACACCTGTAAGAAAAGACGAGAGATTACCTGTCTGTAATTCTTGTCTCTCAAGTATTCCCTCTCTCTAAGATTCACATTCCTGAGTCACCATTTGAGCCTCAGACACCTACAGCTGGGCCTGAAGCCTCAGTCATTCTCACCCATTTCCTAAACTAACCACCAGAAAAAACTAGTTTGTTAGCAAACTAGAAAAATACTAATGAATCCCAATTGAGTTTAACTGAAAGCAACGGATTGACTCTCATGGCAAAGTTGGTGTGTGGTACTGAATTTCACATCTTAAAGCTTGCTCATGGCAAATTGTCCCATGTCCAACAGACAATGAGGAGCTGGTAAGGGGACAGTGGAGGGACCAGGAATAATTAAGTTAAGCAAAAACTACAGAACTGTCTTCCTGATACTGACCTTGATCTATGCTGCAAGGACCAGCACACATGCTATCAGCCCATTCTCAGATTAAGAAACACTGAGACCATGCAGCAGGACTGAGTGGCACTGGTAGTCAATCATAACTTTAAGGACTCTCAAACTTTCTCTGTTTTTCTTAAATTACTAACTTTCTTAAGAGACTCATTAACACTGCATTGTGACATTATTCAAATAAAACATGCTGGAGAAAAATCCTTACGCTAAATTGGTAATTTTACTAAGCCCAAAGACACATTTATGGACAGTTTTAAGCAATACAATATGCCACTCATCAATTTTCTCACATTTTTAAATTTTAAAACAGGCACTGGTTTGCAAAAGCTAAATTAAAGTCACCATGCCTTTTTTTTTTTGTTATGCATAACTCCTTCTCCCAATATGAACCTAATAATTTTAAGATTTTTTTTTTTAAGAGGGTTTTTTAAAACTCTTGAAGAACTAAACATGTAAGTTCAGAGTTTTTCTCCCAGATGTGAGCAATACCCTCAATGTTCTCACCTGGGGTGTTGAGGACTAAGGCTCAGAGCTTGTTACCAGAGAAAGCCAGGAACTGACTTTCAGTCTCCTGAGTACAACCTCAGCACAGTACAGGTGACTCACCTACACAACCCTTTTCATAACATTCTGTGTCCAGGTAATGCAAGTTCTCTTTGCATGCTTTACCCCACTGTTTTTAGGGCCTAGATTTCATTTCACCTGTTAAGGAAGAAAGCTTTTCTGCCAGCCTTACCAACATTCTTGGGAAGATCCAGATCCTATTTTATTCACTTCACTGAACTTCTGGAATAGCGAACAATAACTTTTAAAACAAGACCGTACCTAATTCTGCATTCATGCAAAACAAATCAGAGAGGCTGATCTGTGAGCACATTTTCTAGGTGCCATAGGAGTTCCTTGCTTGATACGATTATTATTCACAGATTTGGTTTTGGAGCTTTTTGGAGACAAGGGGGAGAGGGAGGTGAAGCAAAGAGGACAGACAGCACAAGGGATGGGGTTAAGGGAGAGAATCATCCCTAAACATAGCACATCTGCTCTTTCAAATTAGTTGCCCACAGACAAGTTACCATCTTTATCTAACAGCTACAACCGAAACTGAAAATAACTTTGGCAAAGCAGCTCTACACACACAGCAGGAGGATGAACAAGACTGAGTAACATATGAAGTATATAAAGAAATTATGCCATTAGACTCTTTATAAGTTTATTTCATCAAGAAAGACAAGAGATTTTCCTTGTTTCTCCTCAGACATGGAATTAGAAAAAAATACTTGGACATTAAAAAGGTGGAAAATGTTAGTTGGTACACACATCTGAGGATTATAAGGAAATAAACTTTATATAAACTTACTTTAAATTACAAGTTTTTAGAACTGTTTTTAACCAGAACTTGTTAGAGCAATCTGATACACTGACAGATCTGCACTGCTGAAAGACAACAAAAACCAAGTCTCATGTATTCATTAGATAGTACAGTTTTGGATGTAAAACATCCAGAAGGTTTCACAAGACTCTGTGCTTTTCGGTTTTAACCCTGAATACAACCCAGTGCAATGGTATGTTGACAAAGTATCTTAGAAAGGGTTAAAAACATGGGGGGGAGCAAGCACCTGGGATGACTACAAAGATAAAATGTTGCACAGATTCTCTTTGGCCACAAGTGGCTTAAGTGCCAAAGAGGTGCTATAACAGAAGAAAAAAAAACCCCAAACAAAATGAAACAAACTTAAATTTGAAAATTATGTTGAAAAGAAAACTAAACTAATACACAATAAGACACCTGTTATGCTAAGACCACCCTACCCATGTTAAATATTCACCCACTTCTTTACCAAGAGACCAAGGAACAGATTATTTATAGGATTACTACAACGTCTCAGAGGATCCAGTATCAGATCACAAAGGCAACACAGGACAAAGCCACTTCTTGAACTAAGTGACAGAGAGCACCATTGCTGTTTAGATGGTTTAATTTTCAGAATTGGCAGTAGGCTTTATTTATACTTAATACAAAGAGTATACATAAGGCACAAATGTTAAACCTCTTCAGAAGCTTCTTCTGAAAAAGAAAGTTGAGAATGGATACCCATAGGGAGGCTCACCACTGTAAAACCACCTTAAAAGAAACCAGGCAGGTTCATCACTATCAACATGACCCAGCTCAGCAGAGTCAGCTTATAAAGAAAAATCAGACTGATAGTATTTATTAAGTCTGTGGAAGGATCCTCATGATCCAGCAACATTTTTTTTCTTGTAAGAATAAACCTCTTCTGTGGGGCTATAGATTTCTATATGTCATGGGCTTACTTGGGAAACTTCATTCAAAGTTAATTACCTGAACTGTAACAGGTAGCAAAAAAAAAAGCAAAGCTTACTTTCTTGAATTCTACACAGGTCAAGTTAGTAGTGCACAAAACAGAGGTAAACAATAATTTCAAGTTTTGCACCTTTGGAGACATAGTCATCAATGAGCATTCCTTAAAGAGTCTCAAAACCTCAGGACCACTCAATTTAATAATATGATTTGTTATACAGGACTGGACAGCCCAAATGAAGTTATGAGGTCTATATGCTCCTCCTGCAGCAGTCACTATGAAACTCCCAAGACTGGATAATACACGTAGAGTTACTGCATTAACCTCCCCAACCCATAAGCACCAAACAACTCCAGCCAAAGCTGTCAGCAAGTTCAGTTGTAGCGAGATGCATTCAGACATCAATTCAAAATTCTAGAATTAAGATTTTTTTTTTAAAGTACACAAAATACTTTTTTTAAAGTGAAAACTTAGCAGATCAACTTAGCAAACCAATAAATACTTTAACTTTTATAGACTTTTATTGCATCACTGCAGGATGACACCGTACCACAAAAAGCCACTCCCCCTTCCTCTCACACACAGAGCAGCACATGCAGTTATTGTTCCTGTCATTTAGCTCTCCTCAGGGCTTAAAGAGTGTTGTCCTCATAAAAACAAAGTTCAAGGTTTACTGTAGCTAACTCACTAGCATTTTAATTACTATTTTCACCAACACTTCTCTGTACAGGTAGACAGATACCTGAGAGAAATAAAGGTAATGTCATCTAAATTAAGAATGTTTACACTAGGAGTAAAAAAATATTGATTCCCATTAATAATTTGTGTCTCCTGTTAAGTTTTTTAATCTATTAAAAAGTTGACATTTTTTCCACTCATTTTCATGAGTTCAAGTTGACCTAATTTCACGTTTCAATTGCAATTGTAAAAAAAAAAAAAAAGATTCTCTAGACAACATAAACTGAAAGCTTTTCTTACATCACTCTGAAAACAAAGTCTTGGTCTCCCACATGCTTAGCATGAATTGAGGCATATTAGCTTAAGCAAGAATAGACATTAAGTAGACATTTTTACCATGTCTCACTAATACAAACAAGACTTCATAGTAATCCTAAACTTACTAAAGTAAGTACTAGAAGAAAGCAATAACATCAGTCTAAATGTCAGGTGTGTGCAAGGCACAGGTGACAAAACCAGCATACACTGTATTTGTCAAAACACGACATGCTTTGCCTTTAAGACTTGGCTTCTCATTTCCACTTTTAAGACCTCTCTTTGCACTCTTAACAACAGGAAACACAGAATCAAAGATGCAGCACATGAAAAAAAGTATCTGTGGTCAGACGATGCACTAACCAATCACAAAGTGCTAGCCTTAAATTTTTTTATCACAAGGACAAATAACCTGCCATTTTACTCTTTCAAAACTTTCTCATCATCTGTATTTCCAGTACCTTTAAAGACATTCTCCTGTTTTCAGATGCACTACAACAACTTTAATGAAAACAGATGCTGAGTCTATTATGTTTTATTCAAATTAGGTCATTCTACAAAAGCTTGGTAAGAGGCACCACATGAAGAGTAAAGATGAGAGATCAACAGCCTACCATAGAGATACACTAGCTTACCTGCTCTAAGCAGTCAGCTACATCTAGAAATAAGACCCTTACAAGCAGCCTAACCAAAAACCAAACCAAAACAAAGAAGCCAAGTAAACACGCAGAGAACAAAACACACCCACAACTCTCAGTTGGGCAGATATTTCAGAAACAACATAAAAAAAATAAAATTAAGATTGGCCAGAAGAAAAGCTCCTCGTTGCTCTGGTGTGCAGAATTTTTTCTCAGAGAGGCTATAGCTTACTTTCAATTGTCCCAGAATAAGGCACAGAAGAAATGAAAAAGAAGTTGCACTTTTAATGTCCTGTAATGGAAGTGCAGAGGGACGCTGAGGTAGGAGAGAAATGTTCCCTCCACTCCTGCTGTCAACACAAAACGGGAGGACAGAGGAACAACACCACGCACCTACATGTACTGCCTGTGCTGAGCCACC